GTAATTACATAGCTATATCAACAACTGCTGCAGATGCTGTTGTTGTTAATAATATTATTATTATTACTATTTTATTATTATTTTATTATTATTATTATTATTAATTATGGCGTTTATTTATATTTTAGTATCATCGCTCCCATAAATCTTTTCTCGGAATCAAATAAACATCATCAACGATTTTTTTTTGGGGGGGGTGCTAAGAATTTTACTCTGCGCAGATTAATCCTACGAACACACGCACACACATACAAAGACACACGCATACAAAGACACACACACTCACAAACACACACAAACACACACATATATATACACATATATGTATCAAATGATATATAATATAGCCCAATATATGGTTCTTGTTATTTCCCAATGGTACACAGAAATCCATCCTAATGATTTTCTCTATATTTTCTCACCTCGTCACCAGATGGCTGGCCGCCCTTGAGTTTGTGCAATGTTCTGCATACAAAAATACGTACGATGTACGCATTTATTTACGCCAATGTACGCATTTATGTATGTGAATGTTCACATTATTACACACGTACACATACATGCACCACACGCACACATATGCCTCCATTCGATTCTGAATCTTTGTCACCTCCTTGAAACAAGTGGCCTACAACGAGAGACATCTTCTTTCGTCTCCAGGTCCTTCAGTTCGATTGACTTTTTTTCTGTCTGGTCAGGGTTTGACAAACAAACTTCTTTAAAATATATATATATATATATTATTGATGAATATATATATATATATATATATATATATATATATATATATATGATGCATCATGATGGTGATGACGATGACGATGATGATGAAATATGTGATTGAGATAAAACACGTCTAATTTATAAACAATAAATAAATGAATTACCAGCTAAACAAAACAACATGTGAACGAATGAGCGAATGAATGAACGGATGAATATAAGTTGTGATGATGATGGGCTGTTGTTGTTGTTGCTGCTGTAATGTTGTGATCTTGCTGTTGTTATAGTTGTTGTTGTTAATGTTATTGATACGAGGGTAGGCGGTGATTAGTAGGAATAAAAATTGAAATTGTTCTTAATGTCATTGTTGATGATATAACTGTCAAAAAACAGCAACAACAAGAACAACAACACACCAGAAACAACAACAACAACACATCAACAACAACACTTTGCCAATCAAAATGTACGATAAACAAATTTTCAATTATTTCTCAATTAATAACATCTTCTCAGGACCAAGCTATTAATCATGCCCGTACACACACGCGCGCACACACACACACACACACACACATTTTCAGTGTTTGATTAACGAACACTTGTTAATGTATTTATGAATACAAGGCAATTGATCGATCGGTTGGTTGATTGATTGAACTGTTGAATGGTTGATGTGTTGATTGTTTGATTGAATAGTTTATTAGTTGATTTAAAAAAATTGATTGATTGATTAATTAATTGATTAGTTGATTAATTGAATAATTGATTAATTTATTAGTTGATTAATTGATTAATTGTCTTAACCAGTGTAAAAATGAATTATGTGCAAAGAACTAACAAACAACATACTAGCATACAAACACACGTACATGCAAACAAACAAACAAACATACGCAAACATACAAACACAAAAAATATGCCAGACTATTTCAAGATAATTGTACGTAGATTAACTTTCATTCCATTCCAAAAAGCCATCATCATCAAACAAATATTTTTGGTGAATTATTTTTCATCAACGTTTTAAAAAAATTGTTAAAAAACACACACACCACACACACACACACACCACGCACACAGTGGGAGAGAGAGAGAGAGAGAGAGATACATTGCCTAGAGCCTCTTTCTAACTTAATAGTGTAGTTTTTAGCGTTATTTTATGTTTGTTATCTTATCTCATTCTCATTTTTCGATCTGTTAGTAACTCACAAACCGCCATTAACATGCTATGATGTTTCTTGATTATTGTTTAGAGAGGGAAAGAGGAAGAAAGAGAGAGAGAGAAAAAGAAAGAGAGGGAGAGAGAGAGATGTACCGGCCGAATGTACAGGTCGGACAACAAACTGAAACCGTATCAACGTTAAATATATATTAATTATTAAATAATTAGTTAATTAATATTAATTTACTACTTTCTCTCTCTCTATTTTTTTTCTCTCTCTCTTTCTCTTTCTAACCAAAATAGGCAGCACATATGAAAAATCACTTCACACACACACACACACACACACACACACACACACACACACACACACATACAAAGCATTAACGAGCCATCTCTCTCAAGTCCCGCCGTGTTTGCATCTCAAATGTGTCACACTACCACACCTCTCTTCTTACTACACAAACACACCACACGACGCACTCCATCTTTTCTCTCTCTCACTCTCTCTCTTTCTCTCTCTCTTCCTCTCGCTCTCTCTATCTCTCTCACACACACATACATACGCACACATGCACAATGTATACACGCTCTTAATCATGCGCGCACATACAGACACAACACAGCTAGCAAAATTTTCCTCTGTTTTTAATCCAAATTAAACATTCAAATAACACGTCTCAAGAAATACAAACAAACAAACAATTAATTAAACTTACACACACACACACACACACACATTCATACACACACACACACATTTTTTAAACAAACACTCGCACATAAATCCAAACTTGGCGCAAGTATAATTGACTACTTAATTCATCTGGACATCATCGTCGTCTTCTTTCTTTCATTCATTCGTTCTTTCTTTCATTCATTCTTTTGTTCTTTCTTTTATTCATCCATTAATCACTACCTAAATGCAATAAGCTTGAGAATACTAAACGCGCAAGTAAGTGTGTGTACGTGTGCATGTGTATGCCAGTCAGCATGTGTGTGTGTGTGTGTGTGTGTACACACACGTACAGACATGCATACACACACATACATACGCAAAGATTCATAAGTATATACAGATACAAACAAACAAACATACAAATAAACATACAAACAAACAAATACAGAGGCGGGCATGAATGAATGCACATAGGAGTGAGTGAGACCTTATTGCTTAGTGATTGCTTTCAAGATTTTGCTTTGAAGTGGTTAACGAGGAATCTATCACACACAAACACACACACATACACACTCACACACACATATCTACATACACACGTACATACACACAGGAGCCAACGTACACACGTACCAACAAACTCTGATAGGATGGCATACGACAGTCACCAGAAGTACGCAACGAAATTTACACACAAACCAACACACACACACAAATACACACACAAACAAACACACACACACACACACACATATATATATATATATACACGAACTTGCACAAATCTCACGCTCCGATAACAAGATTTTGACGTCATTTTGTGACGTAGAAAGAAGTAGGAAGCGGGCGAGCTTTGTTTCATCCACTACTGTTTTGTTTGTTTGTATGTGTGTGTGTGTGTGTATGTGTGTGTGTGTGTGCATATGTTTGTGGGGTTGTATGTGTGTTTTTTTGTATGTTATAACGGGTTTTTATAATTATTTTACCGTGTGTGTATGTTTGTTTGTGTGTCTGTTCATACACATTTGCGAATTTGTTGAGAAAATTTAACATACAACAATTGTATACCACAGTACAGTAACAACAACAACATCAACATTATTGACAACAACAACATCAGCAACAACAACAACAACGGCAACACACAAAAACACATTCTCAGCAATTAAGTTGTCATAGGAACAACCTTTTCCTTGGCTGCATTGAACAGATGTATTTTGTAGACATACACACATATACACACACACACACACAACATGCACATACATACACGCACACATACACACACACACATACAACAGATCCAACTCGGCACTTGAAAACCTTCCGAAGCACACGCACACGCATATATTTGGTTTTTGACACGAGCAATAAATAAATGAGCGACGATTGAAGAGAAGAGAGGAAGCAAAAGAATGAACGAATGAATGAAAGAACAAACGAACGAACGAATGAATGAAAGAACGAACGAACGAATGAACGAATGAATGAACAAGAAAACGGATGAACAGCTGAATGTTTGAATAACTTAACGAACATATGGAAAACAAAAAAGCCCAACTGATGAACAAACAAATACAGGATCATTCTCATCACTTTTGTTATTGCCCTTATTATTATTATTATTATTATTATTATTATTATTATTATTATTATTATTATTATAAAACTCATCTTCATCCTCATGTTCATCATCCTCATCTTTTAATCACTGCTGTATAACCAATGCTTCCTATTTCCACACGCTTAAGCACATGCTTTGGATGTGGAATTCGAAAAGTCCAGATAGCAATAATAATAATAATTATAATTATAATAATTATAATCATATGTAATAAGTATGATAATAATAATTAACATAGTTGTTATTATTAATTATCATCATCATTTCTATCGTTATGACGACGACTGCGACTCTTACAAATTATGTGTATTGTCATTTGTCAAAAAAAAAAAATGTGTTTGCTAAGAATTCGTTTGTTTGTTTGATCCAGATTTTGTGTGTGTATGTGTGTGTGTGTGTGTGTGTGTGTGTGTGTGTGTGTGTGTGTGTGAAAAAGACGTAACTTATACCTCCATTGTTTTTGTCTGCTTGTTGACTCTTTGGATTTCCTATTAAGAATTTTTGGTTTAATAATACGTGCACGTGACGTGCATGTACGTGTGTGTGTGTGTGTGAATGTATGTATGTGTGTGAATATGTATGTGTGTATGTGAATGTACGTATGTATGTTTATGCGTGTGTGTACAAACGAAATAAACAAATAAAATGCACAGAAGAAAATTCGTGCAAGCAAAACCTACATATTATCGAAGACAAAAATTCTTTCCAAAAAGAAAGAGAGAGGGAGGGAGATAAAAAGAGGAAGGGGAAAAAGAAGAAAATTAAAGGAAGAGGAAGAGAGAGAGAGAGAGAAAGAGAGAGAGTCAGAGATGTGTGATGTGTCCCATGGTGCATGTTGGCAGTGTTTGTCAAGGATTAACAAAATCATAATCGTTCCATTATATACAACTACCACAACTACAAAAACAACAACTGCATGACAACACACACACACACACATACACACACACAATCGATTAATTCTGATCAAAGGGTAAACAAACGTTAAAATATGGAACGCCAACAAACAAACAAACGCGCATTGCAAACAATGGCTTACCATAATTTCGTCTTTCCATTAATACCTCACACAGATTATCAAGGATATGTATAGTGCATGATGTAGGAATAGTGACAATGATGATGATGATGATAATGCACACACACACATACACACTCACACACATACAAACTACACATACACCCACACAGATACAAACTAACCAACAACACCATAAACATTGACTAACGATTTGACGATAGTATTAAAATAATTTTTTATGTATATATATTTGCGTTTCTATGTTATTCTCGGGTACTTTGGCGCGTATTTTGTAGTACAATTTGTATTTTTTTATGTTTGTTGTGTACTTTTTGCATTTCTTATTGAAAAAAAACATGTATTTTTTTTGATCGTATGTAAGTTTTGTGTATAATTTGTTTGGTATTAGGCAGGAATGTGTGTAGTGTGTAATTAATTAAGTGTGGTTTAAATGTGTGTGTGTGAGTGTATGTGTGTGAGTGTATGTGTGTGTGAATGTTTGTGTATGTGTGTGTGTGTGTGTGTGTGTGTGTGTGAATCTGTGGTTAAATTCAAAACTCAAACCTTAAGCACGTATGCATATTTTTTGAAGAGTTTGACAAACAAGAATATGCTCATACGATCGATACCTCTGATCATCATACCCAGCAAACGTCATGTGTCCATGTGAATATACAAACATTTATGCAAGCATACAAACACACACACATACAAATGTACACACAGATATACTAAAATACACTATCATACATAAATACAGAATCATCGATAGATAGATAAATGGATTGATGGATGGATAGATAGATAGGAAGACATACAGGTAGATAGACAGACAGACAGACAGACAGACAGACAGACAGACAGACAGACAGACAGACAGACAGACAGACAGACAGACAGATAGACAGATAGATAGATAGATAGATAGATAGATAGATAGATAGATAGATAGATAGATAGATAGATAGATAGATAGATAGATAGATAGATAGATAGATAGATAGATAGATAGATTGGGAAAGAGAAAGAGAGAAAGAGAGAGAGAGAAAGAGAGAGAGAGAAAGAGAGAGAGATAGAAAGGGAGAGAGAGTTTAAAATGTCTTCTAACTTAATACCCCAAAGGGATTTCAAAGCTTCATAAACGCATCTTAACAGAGAGCATCAAATATTATGCAATATCTATAATGCTTTCTTTTAATGCGATCTTACACTACATGCGCACAATTCGAAACGAAACGGTACACATACAGACATACATACGTACGTACATACCAACAAACAAACAAAAACTTATACCCGAATACATATGTACAACGTACATACATATGCACATACACACTTACTCATAAATGTACACATATACAAATACAAAAATACCCCGAAACTGCATTTTGTATGTCAATAAATTGTACATACGTGTATGATTCTTTAACCTCCATTCGAATTTTTTCTTGATTTAAGATGGCTATAACTGAGATGCGAAATGTCAATTAAAAACGTACACACACTTACAAATACAACACGCATACACATATGTATGTATGTGTGTTTGTATGTTTGTATGTATGTTTGTTTGTATGTATGTATGTATGTATGTATGTATGTATGTATGTATGTATGTATGTATGTATGTATGTATGTATGTATGCGCATATATCACAATGGTGATATGTTTGTAATGGGACTACAAATCAGGTCGTGCAAGATTAGCGATTTATCATTAAAATTAATTTTATTATCTTTTTTTATTCTTGTTTCACGTGGTTCAATTGTGCGTGCTGTGAAGGATTAACGAGGCACTGTGAAAAAATGTCAGTTGGATGGATGGATGGATGGATGGATTGGTTGATGGATTGATGAAGGAATGAACAAACGAATGTATGTATGCGTGTTTGTGTGTTTATGTGTGTGTGTGGTTGTTTGTGAGTTTGTTTGTTTGTGTGTGTGTGTCCATGTCAAGTTTTGCATTGTCTGAAACATTAAAATTTCCTAGATCTAAATCTGCGCTAAATCTGACAACATCATCATCCGTATCATCCTCTCTAACACGCAAACTAAACACACAGACACGTACACACAAACATAGACACGTACACACACACACACAGACAAACACGTACACACGCGCACACACACACTTATTAAGTGTGATCTAAGATTTCCATTTTATATCATCACCCGCGGTTTCTGTTACCAATAAAAGTGATACAATTAAAGTTAATTCTCACACATACTTGTACTTACGTGTATACACGCACACATACATACACATACAAACAGACGGACACGCACATACACAGACAGACACGCACACACACACAGACCTACATTCAATTGGAAGTATTATATCATATTTTTTCTCGCTTTCTCGAATTTATGAAATATTACGTTGGGTGTAGAAACATTTACATTTACACTGGCGTGCATTTCAATTTACACACGCACACGCACACACATACAAAAGTACACACATACATACACACGAACACGCGCACAAACATCCATATCTTTCGTTTGTAAAGTCCTTTCAATACAATCATCATTCATGAAAGTATCAGTTATTGTAAAACTTCAGAATTTTTTGGCAAACAAAATTAGCTGGCCTACTTATTAACATATTTAATCATAATTTACATAATCCTAACCATATTTAACATAATTCTAATTATAATTAACATAATCTCAATCCAAACTAACGATAGGAGTGCCTGGAGAATTGTATTACGTCAGAAATGGATTCGTCAACGACTATGCCCTCTCCTTCAACCTGCCAATCAAACCGGAAATAACCGAGGTCTACTTCAGCTGGATTCATGACGTCACCAATCAGCTGACTGTTGTTCCGGTTTGTTTAGTAGATGGGCGGATGAATCAATGAATGAATAAAAAAGTTAATTAATTTGTACATTAGGTGGTTGAATAAATGAATGAGTTGATAATTGATAAAATGGATGAATGTTTAACGGACGTATGAATGAATGCATTAATGCATCGGTATGTGAATGAATGAATGAATAGATGAAGGAACAAATAAATAAATGGACAAATGAATGGATGAGTTGATGGATGAATGGATGGTTTGATAGATAAGTTGGCTTGGTGGACGGTAAAATCTTCAAAGACATTGTAATGTAACCCAAGCCATTTCTTACACATAGATACTTAGTTTGTTTGCTTGCATCCTTGTGTATGTACGTGTGTGTGTGTACGTGTGTGTATGTATTTGTAGGTTTTCTGCACACGTACACACAAACGTACAGTCAAATTTTGTGTTGTAGGCACAAAAATTGTACACAGACCAACTGAATACCGGGCATTTCACATCTGTGTTAGCTTTGTTCCAGGTTATGCCTTGGTGGAATTATTTCCCCTGTATGTATGTATGTATATATGTGTGCGTGTGTTTGTATGTATGTGTGCGTTTGTATGTATGTGTGTGTGTGCGTGTGTGTGTCGGCTAAAACTGAACAACTGCCTTCTGAGAAAAACATATATGACAAGGAAGCGAGTTATTGAATATCGTTTAAATCTTGACGTAAAAAAAGTTACACACACGCACACACACATACACGCACACACACGCACATAGACGCACACACACAAACATACACATACAAACATACACACGTACACACACATAGAACAGGTGCTGCAGAAGCGTTAAATAACAAAACAATGATTCTTTTCAATAACAATAACTTAATAAACATCAGTCACATCATTAAAAACATTAATAATAATAATTAAAAATGATAATAATAATAATAATTTATAATAATTAATAATAATAAATTTTTCATATTTACGTTCATGGGATCGCACATCATATTCAGATCACAGTTCAATAATTTAATTGCTGCCTGAATGTCTATCAGTCCGCCTGTGCATGTATAAATTTTGTATGTGTGTGTGTGTATGTTTGTTTGTGTGTGTATGTATGTTTGTATATGTATGTGTGTATGTATGTTTGTGTATGTATGTGAGTTCTTCCATTCAATTACATAGATATAGCTGGATACCATTATTAAATTTACAACATATTCGCATGAACATTCGCCTGTGAATTTTTTATTAAAGTATTTGTTGTAGTAGTAGCAGTAGTAACAACAGTAGCAGTAGTAGTAGTAGTGGTTGTGTGGCAGTAGTAGTAGTAGTAGTAGTAGTAGTAGTAGTAGTAGTAGTAGTAGTAGTAGTAGTAGTAGCAGTAATAAGAGTTGTCTTCGATGTTTATATGACTAGAACAACAGCAATCATAAGAATGATTATTTATTTATTCCAGCTATAAAAATAATCATTGACAAAACGCACTTTATTTCATTACGTGACGTCATTTCCTCCGCTGCAACAAAGATATCTAATAAACATAGATATAATAATTTGATATCTACTGCATTAACTCCTCTTGTTTCGGCTATTATAGTTCTATAAATTTCCGGCTTTCTGAATTTTAATTTCTACCCTCACGATATTGTAATGTACTCAAGTATTGTATGTGAATGTGTATGTATGTGAATGTGTGAGTATGTGAATGTGTGTGTTTGTGTGTGAGTTTGTGTATATTTATGTATGTGGATGTGTGTGTGTATGTGTGTTTGACACGAAAATTGAAAAGGTAGAGAGAAAGGAAGAGAAAGAGAAAGGAAGAAAGAGAGAGAAAGAGAGAGAGAGACAAAAAGAAAGAGAGAGAGTAATCGGTGATTCAATTTTGTAGGGGCCTCACGATGTTGAAGTGATGTTACCTAGCGTCTACCACGTTGAGAATGCCTTTGTACTGAGAGAAGAGAGGAAAAGAAAAATGACGTCACGATGGTGATGATGATGATAGGGATGATGATGATGGTGATAGGGATGATGATGATGGTGATAGGGATGACAACGACGACGATGATGATGTTGACTAACACAAAATTGCAAGCTTAAACGTCTTGCTTTCCATAATTTCATCTCAGGTCATAAAAATGAATCCGAACGCTGTAACTTTACATACATCAGAAATGCTCGATAACAATAACAACAAAAAAGAATGATAATAATTATTATTAATTATTAACAAATCATTATCATAGCAGCAAATCACAGTTTGAATAATAATAATTATTATTATTAATGAATAATAATAATATTTATTATTATAGCTGGAGTACAACCTGACGATCACAACCTCAAACATTCACGCCATGTATCAGCCCATGTCAAATATTCCATCCCATGGTCTTGTGCCTACTAAATTATCTAGTTAGTAATTATAGTTATAATAATTATTATATATAATATATAATATAATATTATGTGAGGGAATGTAATATAACATAACATAATATAATATAACATAACATAATATAATATAATACAATATAATATATTACAATATAATATAACATAACATAATATAATATAATATAAAATAATATAATATAACATATTATAATATAATATAATTAATTTATAAATATTTAAAGGTTTCTCTGTCCATCTTCTCTGTACTGGGGTTATCTTTGCAGAGGTTGACGTGAAGATGACGATGGCAGTCGCCTCGACTGACAATCCGGACAACAGAATTTTCGTCGACATTCGGCGGAAGAAAAACTGCCTAAAAGGTAATTTAGGTTATAAGCGGTGATGGTAATTATGACGATAATATAATAATAATTATAATATAATAATAATTATAATACAATAATAATAACGAACATTGTGATTATTGTTATAGTTATATTTAGCTACGGTAATTATAACTTCAACAGGCGTACAACAAACACGAGCTCCAGTAGTAACAAATCAAAATAATAAAAATAATAACAATCATAATAGTAATAATAATAATAATAATATTTATAATAATAATAATCTTCCGTCAAAACATCAACCGTCTCAGAAGTCATCATCGTCATCGTCATCATCGAAGAATAATAATAATAATAACAACAACAATAATAACAACAACAACAACAATAATAATAATAATAAAGTTGGTTTTTCAAAACAGCAGCAGCAACAACAACAACTACAACAACTACAACAACAAAATTTAGGTTGCAGTTGTAATATTGATGCGTTTTTTGTTAATTTTATTTTTTGGAATGTATGGGTGTACCTATGTATGTGTTTGTTTGTATTTTTTGAACGTTTGTTTGTTTATTTGTATGTGCATACATACATACATACATACAAACATACATACAAACATACATGCAAACATACATACATACAAACATACATACATAAACATATACTTGTTATCAGTTCAACGGTGGCATTTTAATGTCAGATCGGGTGTTAGGCTGTTTGATTTGCCAGTAAATTTGCGCTTAGTATGTCCATATATCTAATCTTTCACTTTTTCATGCTTCAACTCATTCATTCATTCGCTCATTTATTTATTAGTTTATTCATTTTTTCCTCTCATTTCATTCCTTCTATTCATTCATGTGTTTTTTCGTTCATACGAAGTAAGAAAGTTATGTATGTGTGTTTGTGTGTGTGTGTGTGTGTGTGTGTGTGTGTGTGTGTGTGTGTGTGTGTGTGTGTGTGTGTGTGTGTGTACGTGCAGATGACATATAAGGTTGAACTATTGAACAAGCTGATCAGATCAATACATGCTTGGATATTTTTTGCCACGATGATGCTTGTATGTGTGTATGTTTGTTTGTATGTTTGTTTGTAGATTTGAACGTACGTTTGTATGTTTGTTTGTTTGTTTGTTTGTATGTTTGTTTGTATGTATATTTGATTATTTGTATGTATTCAAACGAGGATTTTTAAACCGTGCGTATGTTTCATAAAGTCGTCAAATTAAGAAAAACTTGAAAAAATAGTTAAACAAAAAAATTTGTCAGATGGCAGGCCAGTCAGTGACGTGCCTGTGACGTCATCGCCGGCTTTTTACATCGGAGTTGGGTGTGCTTTAGGGTCTTTGGTCATCGTCGGCGTCGTCATGGCTACCAGTTTCCTGTTGTGTAGGAGGTGCAGACAGGAAAAAGATTGGTATGGACGGATGAATCCATCTATCTATCTATCAATCGATCCATCCATCAATCATTCATTCAATCAATCAATGAACGAACGAACAAATGAATGGTTCAACGAACGAATGAACAGTATTTTCGGAAGAATTGATGAATGAGTGAACAAGTGAGCGAACAAAGAATGAACGATCAAAAGAGATATTTTTATCATTCTTTTTCTAGCAAACAAGCTAAAACAAATCCAACAACGGACTGCAGAGTGAGAGATCGACTAAATTTCTTTGTCGGGGAGGAGAGCAGAGACCCTCTGGTCACTCCGACTGGTCAGTTTCGTCTTTACACGTCTTTACATCGTAACTTGTAAACATACAAACATCGTAAAACATACAGACGTAAACTTGCAAATGACACACAGGAATGGACACTTTATTAACAACGAGCAAATTGATGATGATCAAAAGTGGCAACATCAACAACAACATCATCAACAACAACAACAACAACAGCAACAACAACAGCAACAACATCAACAACAGCAAAAACAGCAGTTGCAACAACAATGACGTCATTCAAGAATTTCCATCCCTTACTGACATAAGAATCGAGCCCTGTCGTCTCTCTCTTAAAGAAGTTATCATGCAAGGTGAGGAAGATGAGGCTGCTTTTGCTGCTGCTACTGATGATGATGATGATGTTGATGGTGATGATAATGATTGGTGATGTTAATGGAGATAAAGATGGGTTTACTGATAAATAACAATAGTAATATTAATAGTCAATAAATCGTCTATTTTTTCTAATTAAATTGCTACTGCATTGATTTGCTAACCAACCAATCAACAAACCAACCAATCAATCAACCAACCAATCAATTAACCAGCCAACCATGCAATCAACTAAACAACCAACCATCCAATCAACTAAACAACCAACCAACCGACCAATCGCAGGCACATACTCGTGTATATGCAAAGGCAGTTTAATAACTGCTGAAGAAAATGGCTCGGAGAGGAGTGTTTATGTGAAGATGATGACGTCAGGTTGACGATGTTGTTGTAGTTGTTGTTATTGTTGTTGTAGTAATAATTGTAATAGTAGTAGTAGTAGTTTTTGTTGTTTGTCTTGTTGTTTTTTCAAACACAAGATTTGTCAACCCCAACTAAAAACGTCTAATTCGCCAGATGCCCTGACACAAGCAAGCAGTAGGCTGGACCGTTTCTTAAGGGAAGGTACGCTACTGCTAGGACTACAACACGATAACATCAACAACATCGTTGCTGCTTGCGTCATCAACAGCAGCAGCAGCAACTACAACGGCAGCAACAGCAGCTACGACAACAGCAACGGTAGCTGCAACAATGTCAATATTAACAGGCCATTGCTTGTTTATCCTTATATGGACGATGGCAATTTGAAAGTTTATCTTCAAACCAGAATGGTTAACGGGGTTTGTGTTTGTGATGCTTTCAATCGACCAATCTATCAACCAGCCAACCTGCCAATCAATCAATCAATCAATCAATCAATCAATCAATCAATCAATCAATCAATCAATCAATCAATCAATCAATCAATCAATCAATCAATCAATCAATCAATCAATCAATCAATCAATCAATCAATCAATCAATCAATCAATCAATCAATCAATCAATCAATCACTAAATCTATCAACTAACCAACCAGTCAATCAATCAATCACTTAATCTATCAACCAACCAACCAGTCAATTAACCAATCAATCAACCAATCAATCAACTAACCAACTAGTCAATCAATCAATCAATCAACTAATCAATCATCTAACCAATCAACCAACCACTCAACTAAACAGAGTATTCTAAGTCTGGAGCAACAAATGTGTCTGATAATTCAGCTATCATCGGCTGTCCAATACCTCCACCGTTCAAACATCATACACAAAGATGTCGCCGCTAGGAACTGCTTGTATGTTTTGTATCTTTTTTGTATGTTTTTGTATTCTTTTGTGAACTGCTTGTATGTTTTGTATCTTTTTTGTATGTTTTTCTATTCTTTAGTGTTTTTTGTATGCTGTATTTTTTGTACACTTCGAAATTTCGCCATTCTATTTTTAGCATCGACAGCTGCATGACCTTGAGGCTGTCGGACAGTGCCCTGTCACGTGACCTATTTCCGGGCGAGTACGACAGCGACGGTTGCTACAGCAATCCCGGAAGTTTTGAAGTGGAGAGCCGGCCGTGCAGGTGGCTGGCTCTGGAGGGTCTCTCCGATGATCTCTGCTCCTCCGCCGGTGATGTTGTGAGTTTTGTACTCTTGTGTCTTTATTCATTCATTCATTCATTCATTCATTCATTCATTCATTCATTCATTCATTCATTCATTCATTCATTCATTCATTTATTCATTCATTCATTCGCATATTTGTTCGTTCGTTTATCACACGTGTTCGTTCGTTTATTCATTCATACATTTATCCATACACACATACAAACACAAACACACACAAAAACACACGCAAAAACACATACGCACACACACACGCAAAAAACATACGCACACACACACGCACAAACACACGCAGTGGTCACTTGGAATTGCTGCTTGGGAGTTACTAACAATGGGACAGCTACCCTACCAGCACCTGGACACTTGTGACCTTTTGACCTACCTTAGGGAAGGCTATAGACTGCCCAGGCCTCAGAATTGCCCCAATAATTTGTCAGTTACTATAATTATAATATTTGTAATCATTTGTTATAATATAATAAGATCGTTCTAAACTATTCCATGATATTTTTGACTAGACCGTAATTTTTTTTGCCATCATGATACTATGTGATGTGAATATTATTTTATTTTATAGTTATTCATAATTATCTCATGAATATTCATAATCATCTCATAAATATTCTTAATTATCTCGAAATAATTTTCAGATACCTCTTGTTATGTGAGTGCTGGACAGCTGATCCGTGCTCGAGGCCATTGGCCTCAACGCTACAAACATCCCTACATAATTTGTGCATGTCCATAGTTCGCAAGATTTGATTTTTTTTTATAATTTTTGTTAATTTTATATCTATTCTTTTTATTTCTTCTTGATTGTAAATGAATTTGTTAAAAAATCATTTTTTGTCTTTTTACGCATCTTTTTTGGGTGAGTTTTAATATGACGGTAGTGTATGTATGTATATATATGTGTGTGTACATGTATATGTGTGTTTGTGCGTCATAATTAATAGTTTATTCATCTATTTATCCATTCATTCATCTATTCATTCATTCGATCGTTCAAAAAAATTTCATCACATATTCCAAAGTAGCTTTTCTATGCTTATTAGGTACATAGAGACTATCATTTCTTTGACTTAATCGTCGGAATTGTTACAGTTTATACTATAATTCATTAATTATTATTATTTTATTATTATTGCTATGATTGTTATTATTATTATTATATAACTATTATTTTGAATCGTTCGTTTTCTCGTCAAGAACCGTCCATTTGAATTGAGTAATGAATATTAATAATAATATTTATTTATTAAATATCATTATTATTATTGCTTTTTATTATTATTACTATAATTAACAACAAATTCGCCATTTTTTAATAAATTTCGTTATTACAAAATACATAAAAAAAAAGATTTTGTACGATAAAAAACTAAAGTGAAAGAAAGTTCGTTTTAATTTCATTCGCTATAAATTCTACAGAAAAAAATTCCAAAGACGAGCATTCAGTCTGCACATATCCTCTCTCTCTTTCTTTCTTTTTCTCTGTTTCTCTCTCTCTCTCTCTCTCTCTCTCTCTCTCTCTCTCTCTCTCTCTCTCCGGTAAAAGTTATAAAATTTCAAAACGAAGAGACCGGCTAGAAGATAAAAAAAAAATCAGAATTTAAATGGAGATTCTCTCAAGCATCATTGACTCACTTGTCATCCTATCCGTGGTAATGCTGCTGATACGGACGTGGGACTGGCTCATAGGCAAGTTAAACGTTAGCGTCGACCGGAAGTTCATTTTCGTTACCGGATGCGATTCTGGATTCGGGGAGGAGCTTTGTGTGGAGTTGGACAGGTTGGGATGTCACGTATTTGCCGGGTGTTTGACTGTGGAGGGAATGGTTAACATTAAGGATAAGTGCTCCGCTAAAGTCTTTCCGGTTAAGTTGGATGTTCGGGATCATGCCAGTATCGTCAAGTGTTTGGATTATATTAAAGTTAATCTTCCGGATGAAAATGGCTAGTGGGTTTTTTTTTGTTTGAAACTTTGCTCTTCAATGATGTGAAACAAATTTATTTTAAATACGCTGGAAGTTTTATATTTGTATTAGGTATACAATGCCAGTTGAATTACAATTTTCCCCTAATTCCAGGTCTCTGGGCCCTTGTGAACAACGCAGGCATATGTGGAGCAGTAGGACCAACACAATGGCTGAATGCAGGTGATTTCAAAGAAGTCCTGGAAACAAATCTGCTGGGAGCCATCGACGTTACACTGAGCGCCCTACCGTTGCTGAAGTCTGAGAATAAATATGATTCGTGTAGGATCGTTAACATGATCAGTGTTCTGGCGCACTTCCATTCACCGCTGACCCTACCATACACCCTCTCAAAAGCATCTCTGAGTATTTTCTCCAAAGTTTTACGGTAAAATAAAGCCAGAAAAATACATTTTATATAATTTAAATTTGAAAACTTTGCAAAAAATCTCTCCTCAGAATGGAGCTGAAGGGCATGAACGTGCGAGTATGCACAATAGAGCCAGGAGCGCACATATCAAACTTCACAGACAGAACTGAAATGTCCTTGAAACAAACTTGGGATAGATTGCCTCTTGTTGATCAACTTCTATTTGGCAAGCAAAATTATGAGAAAAGTTAGAATTAACATTTTGTCATTGTTAACCTTGTTTTTCAACTTTTTCAATTATAAAACCCAACTATAGCAAAATGCATCGGGCATAATTACACTTACATCACAAAATAACTCTCTTTCATTGCAAAATTTTCGCAATGAAAGACAAAAACTCACAAAAGTTTTATTCCACAGTTTCAAAGTTTGGTAAGAACTACCTGTCATATTTCGCCAAGAAGAGTTACAAAGACGTGACAGAAGCCTACTTGCACGCACTCTTCAGCAGGAGACCTCGTAAAAATTATCTGATCGGCATGGATGCATTTCTGATGAAGATGGCCAGCTGTCTTCCCGAAACCGTCTTCACATTTCTCTACAATACTTCAATTCAGATCACAAAAAATGAAATTGTTGATGTCGATAAGGTAGGAAGTAATGCAGATGATGATGGTGAATAACTTATATCTATATTCATTTTTTTTTCTTTTTTAAATTGTATGATAAAATTTGACCAATACTAACTTGAATAATTTTTCAAACGATATTATTTTATTTTTTGAAATTAAACAGTGTAAAACTGCATTAAACTATTAATTTAATCGAAGGCTAAATTGATTCAGATGTTCACCTGAATTGTATCGGCTGTCAGGTGCTAATGTGCTAAGGCAGTTTCATTAATCCGTCATTTCTGTATGTGTATGTGTGTGTGTTTGTATTCGTTTGTTTGTGTGTGTGTGTGTCTGCGAGAGAGAGCGAGAAAGAGAGAGAGAAAGAGAGAGAAAGTGTGTGGACATTGGTATTGATTACGAAAAACACTGGCTTCAAACTTTAAATGATATAACCTTCAACAATAATATATTAATTATTTCAATTTTTAAACGTTTAATTACAAAATAAATTATTTACAATACATTTATAAATTAAAACGATAAGTTGAATTTGAGTATAAAATGATACAAAGCGATATATTACACATGTGTATGTATACAAAGTTATACCAAAGTCAAATAAACCAAATAATTTTTTCAATTAAAAACCGCTGTTTATACTATGTCGTCTCATTTTCGTTATGTAAACAGTGTACAAATTGTGTACAGAAATAATCATCGAAGCGATTTTTCATCAAGAATAACGAATTTTTAGAGCAAACATTTTTAATTTAATTACTAATTTTATGTCTTTATTATATTTTTAATCAATATTTAAAAAATTATTGAGTCTCAGTAAAGTTGATAAGGAGTTATTTGAAGAATTTGATCAGCTGATTGGTGGTGAATGAATCACTTCACTTTCACTTATGATATTCATTAGCAATATGACGTACTTTTTTTAAATTCTTGTTTATTATTAATTTAAATTCGTTTTTTATTCAATTTTACTTTAAATTCTGTAAAACGTTCATCTGTATTTTTGATTTAGAAGAGAAGATGAACATAGAGAATTTCAATTAACATATTAATAAACACCAGATGATCCAATTTTTCAAATCTACCAGAACATTGTGATAGTGATCAATCAAGCAAAAGTAAAAATACTAATGGCTTGTACTAGTAACAATAAAATTCTTCTCATACAAAACCTTTTAACCAATAATGCCAGAGTAAGAGTTAGTTTCCAGGTAATTTTTGTCAGTAAAATTAGTCACAGTGTACTAAAGATGGAGACCCAAAAACGCCTCTATCATACTTACCATTTTCGTCGTTGGCCGTCTTGTCAATCCCGTTTTGTTAGTGTTAGATGTAATTTTCAAGTTAGGAATCTGTCTTCATCATCATTTTCATGTAATAATAATAATAATAATAACAGTAATAATAACCAAGCTAGTTTGCAAGAACGCGTTAATAATAATAATATTGTTAATAATAATAACAAAAATTTACAATCTCAAAAGCTAAAAAGTTCTGGGCCATCAGCATTTGAAACATTCTATAATAGTCTTTCCAAATTAAAATCTACAACGTCGTCACTTTATGATTTCGATTTCGTAACTCGAGCCTTCAGCTCATTAAATTTAGATTCCATACCAAAGACTATTCATAGTTCTAAAGATTATTGCTGGAAAACTTTGAATAAAATCAACTCCAATTTTTACAATAAAATTTCATTTGAAGACAGAAGTCGAGATGCCACAAAGTCATTTGATGGGAATTTTAAAACTATCATCAACAATAATGTCACAGAAAATAATAATGATAATAAAACCACCACTGCCACTACTGCTGCTGCTGCTGCTGCTGCTGCTGCTACAACTACCACTACTACTACTACCAGTGAAACTGACAAAAATAATAAAAATATTTGTAATAATAATAATAATAGCAATAATAATAAAAAAAATTATAATAACGACAATAACAATAGTTGCGCAGTTAATGATAGTGCTTCAGATAGAAATTGTTATGACGTCGACAACAGTACCATACCTGTCTCATCAATTAGTGGTGATGACGTCATTAATAATAATAATAGTAACAATAATATTATTATTAATAATAATAATTTAGCAACAAAGATTATAAAGTGGATTAATGATAATAATATTAACACTATTAAAAACAACAGCACCACTACAACTACAAATATCAACAACAGCAACGACAATTTCGACAACAACAGCAGTAACATCAACGATAACAACAACTCCGGTGTATTAGGTCAAGTTATAATCCAACAACAACAGCAACAACAACTTTTAAAGACATCATCAACGTCATTAGCAACAACAACAACAACAACAACATCACCACTAACAACAACGACAAAGACATCAACTTTTTCATCCCAACTTTCGACTTACGGTCAAAACTTCACGGAGCAAATCACATTAACGGCTTCTGGGGCCGTCAGTGTCACTGTGGGCGCCATTAAAAACCTCTCCAGCTACTGGCCTACTAATATATCACTTTCAAAATCCCTCTCTTTTTCTCAAGGTTTATTATTACTATAATAATTATTATTAATATTATTATTATTATTGTTGTTGTTGTTATAATTATTATTGTGGTTTTATTATACTGTACAATGAAATTCTATTTTATTTTTATTTCATCCCCCCTATTGATTTATTGATGATGAAGGAGTTTTAATTATTGTCGTTATTATATTGTCAGACCCTTCTCATGGAAGTTTAATTAATTCCGTAACATCATCGTCATCTTACGCAATTTTCAGTGATAGGAACCACAATTTGAACGTAATTTAATGCTGATTCTATTTCTCTTTGTGACCATTTAAAATGCACGGCGAACATTGTAGAATATTTATAATATATAATTTACATTATAAGTTTTATTACTTTAACTTCATAATTACAATGCATGTTCTAAAATGGAAATAAAAGATCTGTTTCCATTATTATGATTATTTTTCACTTATTTTTCACTCTCCAAACACTTGTTGTTCAAAGAGCATGAGAGGATCGTACATTTACAATATATTCTATTTCTTATTCATTCACTCTCTGGCATATAATTAATAATTTTCGATTGATTTCATTTGGATTTTATCATTTCGGTCAATAAAAGAATGTTCCCATTATTATTATTACACTCTGGCATATAATTAACAATTTTTGATTGATTTTATTGGGATTTTAAAAGAATGTTCCCATAATTATATTATTATTATACAATACACCTGCTATTCACGGCCATTAATAATTCTACTCGACAGACAGACCGGATTTAGACATAGACGAACTGAAGCAACTTCACGCTTCACATCCACAACCAGGAACAACAGCAAAATCAAAAACAACCGCTACAACAACAGCAACAACAACAACACAATTCGATCTATCTCCCACCAGCAAAGAATCGAAATTTCGAGTGATAAAAGAGAAGATTGACTGGGAGAGCGTTGATAATATAATTTTTAAACATATCTATGCACTGAAGAAGGCTGCAAAAGTTAAAGATTTGGATGTCGTTGTAGACTCTTTGCATGAGCTTTGTCAAAATTTTATCTGTTCTTACAGGGCTAGGTGCTTAGCTGAGCAGGTTGTGTTGTGTGTTGTTTCGTCTTGCAACTAACACATGCACACACACACACAAACAAACAAATATACACACACAAACAAACACACACACAAACAAACATACACAAACAAACATACACACACGCGCGCGTACATACATACATACGTACATACATACATGTCTAAAGAAGAACCAAAAAACCATCCCATAGACTAAACTAATTCCCACACTGTTGAGAATGCGTTCCGAATTCAGCAGCAACAACATCAACGACGACAACAACAACAACAAGCTAACGACAATAAACAATTACATCAATCAATCATTATGCCTACTTGGCCATGTTGAACCACTGAGACACAGTGGTCTGAGGGTTCTTACCCTAGATGGGGGAGGAACTAGGTCAGATTAGTGTCATCATTATTGTTATTACTACTACTACTACTTCCACTACTACTACTACTACTACCACCACTACTTCTACTACTACTTCTACTATTACCACTACAACAACTACTACTACTACCACTACAACTACTACTATAATTATGTAGGGGTCTGATAACGATCAACATCCTGAAACAACTGGAGCAACACACCGGTCGACGAATCTACGAACTGTTCGACTACGTCTGCGGGGTGAGCACTGGGGCCCTCATCGGGATCATCGCCGGGGCTTTCCGGATATCCCTCTCAAAAACCGAAGAGATTTATAAGAAGTTTAGCCGGAAAATGTTCGCCAGAAATCGCTTGGCAGGCGTCGGCAAGCTCTTCATGTCGCATGCTTACTATGATACTGAGTTCTGGGAGGACTTGCTGCAGTTAGTGAAGATGGTGGGGCTGGTGAAATTAGTGAAGATGGGGGGCTGGTGAAATTAGTGAAGATGGGGGCTGGTGAAATTAGCGAAGATGGGGGGCTGGTGAAATTAGTGAAGATGGGGGGCTGGTGAAATTAGTGAAGATAGGGGGCTGGTGAAATTAGTGAAGATGGGGGGCTGGTGAAATTAGTGAAGATGGTGGGGCTGGTGAAATTAGTGAAGATAGGGGGCTGGTGAAATTAGGGAAGATGGTGGGGCTGGTGAAATTAGTGAAGATGGGGGGCTGGTGAAATTAGTAAAGATGGTGGGGCTGGTAGAATTAATGAAGATGGTGTTGGTGGAATGGTTGTTGTCGGTAGTTGTTTCAGTTTCTGTAGTGTTTTCTGTTGATTCGTGATGATGGTGTTAATGACGTTTTTGGTGAGGAAGAAGACGAGAAGGGTGGTGGTAGCGAATGATTGCAAGCTGATAAACTAAACGATAAACACATCCACAACAGAAACAACATAGGAAGTAGATCTTTCGTCGATACCATGATGGATGTCGAGTGCCCTAAGGTTGCATTACATTCACTCACTTACTGTCATCATCATCATTATTTTCATTTTCATTATGTTAATTTTTCATTTATTTACTCAATCATTCACCCATTCATTCACTCATTCATTCACCCATTCATTCACTCATTCATTCACCCATTCATTCACCCATTGTTTCACCCAGTTGTCAATAGTCTCAACACTGATGAACGCACCGAGGGTACAGAATTATCTGTTCAGGAATTACAACCACCCTTCTGACAGGCCTTCCAGGTTTCTTGGATGACGTCATCGTCATCATTTTAATTATCATCCATCTCCTCTTTCGTCATCTTCATCATCAAAACAACGTCATCATCACCATCATCATCACCATCAGGTACTGGGGCTCAGTGGAGCACAGGTTGTGGCAGTCGATCAGGGCCAGCAGTGCAGCTCCAGGCTACTTTGAGGAGTTTGAGTTGGCGGGCCTCATACATCAGGTCTGCTGCTCGTCTCTCTCCTCTACCATTTTACATTTCTAGCGTTATTTTCATTCATTTGAAGAGAAACACCACCACACCATTATCATTATCACACCATCATCTTAACCAAACCACCACCATCATAACCAAACCACCACCATCATCATAACCACCAAACCACCACCATCATAATCGCTACCACCACCACTATCACAGGACGGGGGGCTACTGACGAACAACCCGACAGCTGTGGCCCTGCACGAGTGCAAACTCTTGTGGCCGACAGCACCCATTCAGTGCATCGTTTCTATCGGGACGGGCAAGTATGAGGCCAAGTCGAGTTCAGACCTGGCGGTGAAAAGTTCACTGAAGGCCAAAATTATGAAGATCATCGAGAGTGCTACTGATACTGAAGGTGGGAGGGTTGTGAAAGTTTGCCAATCAATCAATCAATCAATCAATCAATCAATCAATCAATCAATCAATCAATCAATCGATCAGTCAATCAATCAATCAGTCAATCAATCAGTCTCCAGTTGAATAATAGACCAATCTATCAACTTTTATTTATTCATATAATCTACCGAACAACTGACCACCAATTGTAGGCGTCCACATGGTGCTACATGATTTGCTGCCGCCGTCAACCTACTTCAGGTTCAACCCCCCGCTATCCGAGGGCTTCCTCATGGACGAGACCAGAGAGGAGAAGTGGTCCCTGATGTTGGCTGATTCGCAGATGTATTGTAGGAAGAACCAGGTCGGTCGCTAATTGGTCGGTTGCTGATTGGTTGGTTGTTGATTGGGGTTAACTGGCCGATTGATTAGCTGGTTGGTTAATTGGCTGACAACAATTCAACAAACAAACAAACATCCTAACAACCACAAACGAACCCAAACGAACCAGGTTCAACTGCAGAACGCCGCCAAACAGTTGTTGATCCCCAAAAGAAAGATGGATTCATTAAGAGATTGGACCAGATTGAAACTGCAAACCACTTTTGATTACTGAATGCTGATTGGCTGATTTATCAACCAATCAACTGATTGATCAGTTGATTGATTGATTGGTTGATAGACTAATGAAAATTTATTTATTCATTCACAAAATTGACAGTTGTATATTTTTCGTATGCTTTTCGATTCTTATATATATCGATAATGAATAAATCTGTATATTTGCACACCACACACGCACGCACACACATACACACATACACATAAACAAACACACACACACACACGCACACATACCTATATATGTATACATACATTATTGTTTTTGTCCTGTATAGACGCCACAGTACTTTACTAAACTTCGGTATACTTCGATACATACATACAAACAAACAAACATACATACATACATACAAACATACATACAAACATACATACATATACGTATATTCGTTTTGTTTTTTTTAAATTCTAATTAAATTTTAAATATTTTCAACAATAAAAAAAATTGATTTAATAAATAAACGTTTTTTTCAGCTTTATATCAATCGATTCATATATACGCATACGCACACACACACACACACACACACACACACACACACACACATAGAGATACACACACATAGAGATACACACACATACATACACACTGCAAAGGAAATACTTAGTAACCAAGTCGGTGACCCATCATCGTCTTCATTTGATAAAGTGAGCGCTATATAAATGCAGGGCGTTGTCTGACCTTGCTTTTATGTTTTGGCTGGTGTGTTGTTGTTGTTGTGTTGTTGTTGTCATTATTATTATTGTTGCTGTTGTTGTTTTTTGTTTATGTTTATCTTTGTATGTATGTTGTGTAGAAACATTTAGGCACAAGAGTGTACACAAAATGTATATACGTACACACGCATCTATGTATATTGTATACACCACACACACACACATACTCACACACACACACACATACTCACACACACACACATACTCACACAGATATTCACACGTACATACGCACAAACACATAAAAAGCTCTGGGTGTATGATATTCTCAAAGCTTCTATTGCTTGGATGAAACGAAAATATGTTGCCATTGTTGTTGCTGTTGTTGCTGCTGCTGTTGTTATATTGTTGTTGATTTTGTTGTTGTTGTTATGTTGTTGTTGTTGTTGATTTTGTTGATGTTGTCGTGTTGTTGTTGTCGATTTTGTTGTTATTGTTGATTTTGTTGA